TATTGTTGACCTGCTACAACCCGTGTCTGTCATTGTCTGGGAAAATTGTCAATCACCTCTCACTAGGTACATTCTTCCCGGTAACAATCTGGAATGTTAACATCACCACATCTGAGACAGAGGAGAAGACAGTTCCAGGGGAAACTCTCATGTAAATGTTACTCCTTCCAAACAACTGGAACAACTATTTCTTCTCTTTGCAGACTAAAATTCTTTTCTTTGAAAACTTTCTTAAATGTCCTCATCAGTAGTGAAAAAATCTTAGGACACCTAGAAGGTTTGCTGGTGTCTCTGCAGTGCCAGAATTGATGTGATTTGACACTGTTAGGGCTCAGAAAAAGAACAATCATATACCCAGGAAAGTGTAGTAATTTGCAAACAACCAGCTGCTCTGGCGACTGCCTGCTCTTTTCTCTCCAGCAGCAATGAGAGGACAGAAGAAGGTAGAGCACAGTTCATCTCAGGCCTGCACCTCTGAGAGGGTGCTGACTCCAGTCTGAGCTTCGATTACACTGGGCTCCAGGGGCAAAGCTAGAAGGAGCAGCCTCCCTATTTTACATCACTTCATGTATGAAGAAGAATGGAAGACAGACATACACAATTAACAGGAAAGAAGATCACAGCTCTTTCCTCATCACAGACTCTCAGCCCCTTACCTCAGGCCCACAGTAAGAAATGAAGGGAGGGAAGGATGGCAATAGACTTGCTAGGGCAAAGTTATCCAGGAAATGTATCTGGGAAAATGTGGTTACGTAGGTACCCAAAGTCATCAATGTGAGAACTGGATGCGAAGAATAGAAGAGAACTTTCTTCCTTAATCTCCAATTCTCTTGAGTCCCTAATCCTTGCTGAAAATATAGGAGACCATAAAACAGGGTTTCAGATATCTAATATGTAAAATATGAGAAATTACCAGATTTGGCACTGGTGTCCACATCTTGACATAAGAAAGACTCAGATATTTGCAAAAGCATTAGCATTCTCAGAGTTAGCCGACACAAGCTTGATCTGTCAAAGATGAGAATATTTTTTAAAGAGGTTTTATAAATTCTCTTCTTCATATTTTTAGATAGAATGCAGGATTGGTCTAACCCTTTTAACTAATTTAAAACTGTTCAGGTTGAGAAATTTAACAAAGCACTGTAGACGCTAACCAGAACACCCAGTCTTCTCCCAACCTTTTATTTATGCCCCTCAGAATGCAGCACAGAGTCATACAGGCAAAGGACCCACACAGAGGTCGGTGAAGGTGAGGAGAGTGAGGAGGGAGCACCAAGCACTAAGAATATTCGGGCAGTCATCCCCAGACACACTTTTAAGACTATCTTTTTGTTTTCTTTTTCTCCCTCTCTATATGTTCTAATTTCCTTTATTGGAACAGAATGAGTTACTCTGTGCTAAGGGGGAAATGCAAAAAAAAAAAATTTAATAAAACGTTCAGACCACATGGGGGCAGTGTTTCCATTGACAGAAGAAACTGGCTGGAAGCTAGAACTCTGAACAGGAGCAGCCAGAAAGAGTATTTTCAAAGATGGCTTTGATGTGACAAATGAGTTTTGATTGGTTGTGACAAGAAAATGAAGATCACAAGGGATGTCCACACAAAAAGAAACAGAAGAATCTGGAGCAGAGATCTAGGCCCACTGAACTTGGCCACTTCCAAGCCTCCTAACTGAATCCTCAGAGGCTCCAGGAAGAAGCAAGAATGGAGATTCCCCTGGGAGCTTCACTGATGCTCCTGTGTGTGCAGCTAACCTGTGAGTGAGGGGGAGGTGAGGGGGAGTGAAAGGGGCAGGAAGGGCCAAGCAAGACAAATGGGACCCCTCTGCTGATGAAATATACCAGGATTCCAGGGACAATCTGGGCTTTATTCTAAGGAATATAAAACAGCCAAGGGGAACAAAAAGCAGTTTCTTATGCATGAAAACCTTTTCACTCTCCTGAACAGGGTCAAACCAACAAGCACAGGTGGAACAGAGCCCAGCTTTCCTGAAAGTCCAGGAAGGAGAGAGCTTCACACTGAACTGTAGTTACACAGATCGCAATTTCGATTTCTTCCAGTGGTTTAGACAGGATCCTGGGGAAGGCCTCAGCAACCTGATACAAATGCAATCAAATGTGAAGGAAAAGATCAGCAGAAAACTCACAGCCAGGCTTGACACGGAAGGCCAGCACTTTTCTCTGCACGTGAGGGATTCCCTGCTCCCTGACTCCACCACGTTCCTGTGTGCAGCAAGCACACAGTGTGGCACCTGCCCCTGCACCTGCACCTAAACCCTTCAGAGCCCTGCACTGCCCCCTATAAGGGCTCCAGGACACTGACTGTACTTTTGGTCGAAACAAAGGGAAAAGTGAGAGGCTTTTTATAGCATAATATCAAATATTTTTATTTGAAAATCACATGTAGAGGGATAGATAATGTCAAATACCATCTGAAGTATTTTGTTTCTCAATGTGAAGTTCTTACTCTGTTGAAAGTGGTATAAAAGGCTGAGGTTTAATATAACAAAGGAGAAAGCACTGAAAAGAATAAAGAGAGAACAGAGTAAAATTTTTGCCATTGAGCTCTCTGGCAGAATTTTAAAAATACATTGAAATACAGTATCTTAAAAGACATGACCATCACTTCAGTAATGAAAGAAAATATCATATATTTTAACATTCTGAAAAGACTGACATAGTAGGACAAATAATAAAACCTGAGGGTAACTGGTGTAAATTTTATAAAGGACACCATGAAAAGTGAGCACAATATGATAGCTAGTCTGGTTTCTCCTTAAGAGAGGGAAAAGACTACTGGAGAAGAGTCAAAGGGGTGTGACCAGAGGTTATCAGCAGTGAGTATTTGAAAAGGCCCAGCATCCTGTCTTTTCTAAGGTCAGAACCCTGAGCAGGTGGGGTGAGAGGAGGATGAGTCACATTCAGGGTGACCATGAACTGAAGGGAAATTGTGCTTGGGCACAAGTTGTTGGGATCCTTATATCTTACATCCATCCCCACTGGAGAGCATCGCCTGCAGAGGAAGCACTGAACAACCACGTGAGCAGGACAGTCCATCCAGAGGATGTCACCAGCCTCTGTCCACTTCAGTGCTTGAACAATAGACCCATGAACAGATTAACCATGGTGACAGAATAGACCTTCTCCATAAGCCCACAAGAATACTTTTCTCTAAGTTGGATGTGGCTACTTCTGCTGCCAAGGAGTCAACCTGTCAGCAGTAGATATCACACTCAGACTTCAATATGGAATCCCCCTCAAGAAGATACCCAGCCACTTTTTGACAAGTAGATTACATTGGACCACTTCCACACTGGAGGTGACAGAAATCTTTTGGGGGGGATGGTTAATACATACCTCTGGGTGTGAATTTGCCTTCCCTCCCACAGGGCCACACACAGCAGCACAAACTGAGGGCTCAGAGTGTCTGACTGATCATCAAAGGATTTCCCATCCCTTCGCATCAACAGACCCACTTTGTAACATAGAGGTGGAACAGTGGGCACATGAACATTGGATATGCTGACCCTACTGCATGGACTGTTATCCACCAACCACTAGTCTAACAGAATGTGGAATAACAACAAAAGCCAGCTGAAGCAGAAGAGGGTGGGGAGCTGTTCTTCAAGATGGTGCTGAGTTCCTAAAGCAGCCTCAGTCAGCAGTGGACAGTGAGTTCATGGATTGTTCCAGCTCCTTCACACCTCACTTGGGAAAACTCCAGAGGGCATGCTATCCTGAATCCCAGACCTACCCTGCTGGGTTAAGCTCCAATTGCCCACAGTAATAACTGGTTGATGACAACACCTTGCATTGGCTTCCTTCCCTTCCCTCATTCACTTCCTACCATCATTTGATAGAATCACTTGCACACAAACTGCTTACACAGATCCTCATATTGGAACTGACTTTCAGAGATCCAAAACAAAGATATAGGAATTCAAATCATAGGACAAGAATGGAGATGATCTAGAAGGAATTCTGTTGCCTCTTCTTCCATTGCTATCAAACAGGATTTTGGGACACAAGACATTGTAGCAGCTTCATTCAGAGCTGGTCCCAACTCTCACTACTCCCTGCACACCTGAGTGGAGATGCTAAGGCCCTAACCACTGTGTCACAGAGAACCATGGGGCTGAAACATTACCTGATGTAACAGGACCCCATCTGTATGACTTAGAATCCAACTCTGGAATTAAGCATCTTTGTCAGTCCTTCTGGAAATGCAAACTTCTAATGAATCACAGTATTTTTAAAAAGTTTTTTATTCACAGTATTTTCTTAAAATGGAATGAGAGGTGAAGCACTCTTAATGAGTCATTTGAGGTAATTTAATGCTGATGAGAACTCTTGGAGTAGTCACTTCAGAGTTTTCTGAGACAGCACCAACAAGGACTTATTTTCTTTAAGTGTCTGAGGGAAAATAGGCCCCATTGGAGATGAGGTGAACAGCTTCTGCTCTAGTCAGTGCTCTTTTCAGTCATAAAAAATCTTTTTTCGTTATTTTAAGGAATTATAAAAATATAAAAATTGAACGCATAAATAAAACAAGTGTCTTCCTATTACTCATAATTAATTATTCACATATATCATAGTTGCTATGTCATACTTATTTGAAAAAGGAAAGAAAACTTAGAGTTTGCCTTTTTTGCAAATGAAACCCTGCTACTTCTGCTCAACATAGCAGGTTCCGACTCCTCTCCAAGATTAGGTCTTGTCACAAATTAATTTGCCAGCTCTTTAGTCTGTAGTTTTATTCTAGAAGAAAAGGACTCAGAAAACATTATTTACTTTCATTTAAAATTGTAATCAAGGGTGGTAGGTGGGGATTACTGGGGTATGGGGAACAGTGGGTGGAAAATGGAGACAAGTGTACTTGAACAACAATAAAAAAAGAAATAACATTATAATCAAGGGTGTATTTTCTCAAAGACCAGAAAGTGTTGGGAAAACTCCTCACTGAGACACTGTCCCCCTCCCACCTGTGACAGTTTCCTGTCACCAGCACAGAGAAGCACCCAGACCAGACCAGAGCACAGACTTCTCACTCTGTGAGAGAGCTGTCAGCATGACACCTGCTGCCTTGCTGTGGGCAGCCATGGTCTCTGCCTGTCTGGGTAAGGATGGTGTGAGTCTTTATTTACAATGTTATCTCATGGGGCTCAGAAGCAAGGGGAGATTAATAGCACAGGACCTACATGCCTCACAGAGCCAAGCTATGGGGGAGCCTGAAAGCTGACATGTTCTATCTGAAGTTTTGCTCAAGAATAGAAATGCAGGTGGGGATGAGAAGCAGCTGTAAGTCTGCCTGCTCTGTCTGTCTGGTGTCACACCCAGTGCAGTCAATCCTTTCTGTCTTCCTTCCCACAGGATCCAGTATGGCCCAGACGGTCACCCAGCCTCAACCAGAAATGTCTGTGCAGGAGACAGAGACTGTGACCCTGGCCTGCACATATGAAGCTAGTAGCAGGAATTATTATTTGTTCTGGTACAAACAGCCTCCCAGTGGGGAGATTATTTTCATTATCCACCAAGAAGCTTATAAGGAACAAAATGCAACAAATGATCGCTTCTCTGTGAACTTCCAGAAAGGAAGCAAACACATTGGCCTCAGGATCTCAGACTCCCGACTGGAGGATGCAGCGATGTATTTCTGTGCTTTCACGGAGGCACAGTGAGATGAGTGACAGGAGGAGGCGTACAGAAACCTCAGATCACAGCACTGGTGTCAGCAGGAAGGGGAGAAGTTGTTGGGGAAACAGGAACATAGAAAATCATTGTTTTCTTTTGGGAATAAAAGCTACTTCTATCTGAGTATAAGAAACAAAGGAAGATGAATGTCTATAATCTTTACTCCTTTAGAAAATAACATTATGTGTAGTGTTTCCAGTGTTACAAAATTTCTTCATGCACATATCCCATATAAACCTCATATCTTTGTATGGTGTATGTGACAGATTACACTTTCTGAGCACTTCCTTACTCCAAAACATCTCTATAATTTACCTAGGAGCAACATAGTTCTGGGAGTCTTAAACTTTATGATTTTATTAATTGAAGTTTTTATAAAAATGTATTTTTTATCATTTTTTATTGTTGTTCAAGTACAGTTGTCTCCATATTCCCACCATAACTTTCCCCACCTCACCCACCCTTAATCCTACCCTCCTTGGCTTTGTCCATGGGTCCTCTATACATGTTCTTTGATGACCCTCTCTCTTCTTTCTCCCTTTATCTCTCTTCCCCCTCCTCTCTGGTTACTGTCAGTTTTTTCTTTAATTCCATGTCTCTGGTTCTATTTTGCTTGCTTGTTTATTTTGTTGACTAGGTTCCACTTACAGGCGAAATTGTATGGTATTTGTCTTTCACTGCCTGGCTTATTTCACTTAGCATAATACTCCCCAGTTCCAACCATGCTGTCTCGAAGGACAGGAGCTCCTTCTTTCTCTCTGCTGTGCAGTATTCCATTGTGTAAATGTACCACAGTTTTTCATCGCTCATTTAGTGATGGACACTTAGGTTGCTTCCAGCACTTGGCTCTTGTAAATTGTGCTGCTATGAACATTAGGGTACATAGGTTTTTTTAAATTAGTGTTTCAGTATTCTTAGGGCATAATCTTAGCATTGGAATTACTGGGTCAAAATGCAGTTCCATTTTTAGTTTTCTGAGGAAATTCCATACTTTTTTCCACAGTGGCTGCAGCAGTCTGCATTCTCACCAACAGTATACTAGGGTTCCTTTTCTCCACAACCCTGCCAGCATTTAATGTTTGTTGATTCATTTGTGATGGTCATTCTGACTTGTATGAAGTGGTATTTCACTGTGGTTGTAATTTGCATCTCTCCAATGGCTAGTGATGCTCAGCATCCTTTCATATGTCTCTGGGCCCTCTGTGTGTCCTCCTTGGAGAAGTGTCTGTTCAGGTCCTTTGCCCATTTTTTAATTGGGTTGTTTGTCTTCCTGGAGTGGAGTCATATGAGTCCTTTATATATTTTGGAGATCAAACCTTTGTCTGAGATATCATTGGCAAATGTATATTCCCATACAGTTGGTTCCCTTTTCATTTTGCTGATACGCTTCTTTAGTTGTGCAGAAGCTTTATATTTTGATGAAGTTCCATTTGTTTATTCTTTCCTTTATGTCCCTTTTTCTAAGGAACGTGTCAGTGAAAATATTGCTGCATGGAATATCTGAGATTTCCCTACCTATGTTCTCCTCTAGGACTTTTATCATATCATGACTTATACTTAAGTCTTTTACCCACCTTGAGTTTATTTTTGTGTGTGGCGTAAGTGGTGGTTGAGTTTCATTTTTTTGCATGTAGCCTACCCATATCCCAACACTGTTTTTCGGAGAGGTTTTTTTTACTCCATTTTATGCTTCTACCCCCTTCATTGATTATTAATTAACCATTGAGATTTGAATTCATTTCTGGGCTCTCTATTCTGTTCCATTGATCTATGTGTCTTTTCTTATGCCAGTACCAGACTGTTCTGACTACAAAGGCCTTGTAATATAGTTCAATATCAAGTATGGTGATCCCTCCTACTGTGTTCTTCTTTCTCAAAATTTTTGTGGCTATTCAGGCTTGTTTATGTTTCCGTATGTATTTTTGAAATACTTGTTCTACATCTTTGAAATATGTCACTGATATTTTAGTAAGGATTGCATTGAATCTGTAAATTGCTTTGTGTAGTATGGACATTTCGTTGATGATAATTCTTCCAATCCGTGATTGTGGTATATGCGTCCATTTATTTGTGTCTTCCTTAATTTTTTTCTTTAGTGTTGTGTAGTTTTCTGAGTATAGGTCTTTTATATCCTTGGTTAAGTTTATTCTTAGGCACTTTATTTTTCTGGTTGCTATAGCAAATGGAATTTTCCTCCCAATTTCTGTTTCTGATATTTCATTGATGGTGTCCAAAAATGCCTTTGATTTCTGAATATTGACTTTGTCTCCTCTTGCTTTGCCAAATTCACTAATTAGATTAAGGAATTTTTTTGGTGGAGTCTATAGGGTTTTCTGTGTACACTATTATGTCATCTGCAAACAATGAGTTTTATTTCCTCCTTTCCAATTTGGATACTTTTTATTTCTTTTTGTCTGATTGCTGTGCCTAGGACTTCTAATATAATGTTGAACAGAAGAAGTGAAAGGGAACATCCTTGTTTTTTTCAAGATCTTAGAGAGAAAGCTTTTTAGTTTCTGCTCATTTAGTATGATGTTGGCTGCAAATTTTTCATATATGGCCTTTATCATGTTGAGGAATGCTTCCTCTACTCTCACTTTGCTGAGTGTTTTATCATAAATGGATTCTGTACCTTATCAAATGTTTTTTTCCACATCTATTGATAAGATCATGTGATTTTTGTCTTTTATTTATGTAATGTATTACATTTATTGATTTGCAAATACTTTACCATGTATTAGTCTTTACTTTTCACATTAATCTACTTTCACCCTTTATCTTAAATTTTCTTAAACACCATTTGTGTTATCTAAGAAGATGAGAAAAAAGAACAAACAACTCTAGTCCAATATCATGTGCTGCTATGACTTCTCCCCAAACAGTTTTACTTCTGGTAATGGTTTAGTTGCTTCTGACGAGGCAACCATTTATAAATATCAGGTCAAAGGTGGGGCCCAGGAGCTGCCTTCACCAGATTTACCATCTTCAATACTCTGAGAAAAGGGGATATGTAGCACTGGAGTGAATTCTACCTTGCTTATGTTAAGGGGGGAAATTAAATGGACAAAGTAGCACCAATATGCCTTTGTATGTCTATAATTACACCAATACAGAGCTTTGACTGTTAAGACCACTGCTGGAGTATTTATTTCCATCTGTTCCCATTAGGGGAGTGGTAGAGAGTTAGATGAGATACTTCATAACTGAAATAGTTGTTTGATGAATGGTTTCCTGAGCTGAGGTTGAAGATATGTTTAAAATGAGTGGTGAAAGTTACTGAAGTTGGGAGAGACAAAAAGGACAGAATGCTAAATAATAACTAAAAATAAGCATTCACAGAAATCTTTATCATCCCTGAGTTACTTGTATTGGCACAAGGAATTCATGCTCAGACTGGAAATAAAAGCAGACCTGGAGACATACAAAGGACATTCTGGATCACCTGTGGCTTCTTCATGTCCTCATTGAGAACTTCTATTGCCCACCATAGTCCCACACCCTCCTAGATTTGAAACACCCTCTTAGTTCCCTTGAATAACTTGGAACCATCTGGATCTCTCCCCTTTAGTTTCAAATGCTATGGCCCACGGATAGTTTGTGCCTATTTTTCCATAAATCCCATCCTCTCCCATCACTTACTGTAAACACACCCCTTCCAACCTTGGCTCCTAGCGATAGAAAGAAAATATGTTCCTGAAATTCTCAGTGTTGATCCTTTAGATTGAACTGGCATGTGAGTTTAAGAACTTCCCAGTTTAAATGAACAAAAAATCCCAAGGAGATGGAAAATCAGTGAGGGAAGCTTATTTTATGGTAAAGAGTGAAAGGAAGAGCTAAAGAAGGAAGCAAAAAAGGGAGAGAGTGAGGGAGAGAAAAAGGGGGGAGGAGAAATCATTTCAGGTTGGAAAAAATCCCTAATGCCCATCCCCAGTGCCTTCTGCTGTGTTTCTAAACAGGGAGAACACCCAGCAGCTGGAGCAGAGTCCTTGGTTTCTAAGCATCCAGGAGGGAGAAAATTGCACTGTGTATGGCAACTCCTCAAGAATTTTCCCCACATTTCAATGTTACAGGCAGAAGGCTTGGGTAGGTACTATCCTCTTGATGACATTTGCTAGAGTTGAAAAAATAAAGACACAGGAGGGACTCACAGCTCAGCCTGGTTAAGGCCAGAGAGGATAGCTCCCTGCTCATCACTGCAGCCCAACCTGCAGAGGTATGTGGGCATCTGCCTTTGTGCAGGCACACAGTACTCATGGGTCATGTGCTGCCCACATCCTGACCTCACTGCAGGCCCCAGTGCCACTGCTGTCACATTCTTGCAACTCTTCCTCATGTGCCTCTTGGCATGAACAATGACAATGACCTTAGCCCCTTATGGAACCACTGCTGCTACCTTTCCAGAACATTCCCACATGAGCTGGACAATGATTCCTCTGTTATTAGATACACTTGTAGAAATGTAACTCAATATCAGAACCAGTGAAAATATGGGTTTACAGCTCCCCCAGCATAGGCAGTAGCGGGAAGAAGAGAGTCCATATGGAGGGACAAGTGGAAGATACCAGACAGAGTGCACACATTCTTGAGTGGTCACCCTGTTTTCCTAAAGATCACAACCAAGGGTGGTTAGTACAAGGGCACAGAAATGAGTCATTTTACAGCTTTACTCTACTGCTCTGGAGGTGATGAAACTGCTACCTCCTCAGTCTATCAAATTGGAGTAAAAGGCAGAATAATAGCAAAAAATACTTAGAGACACACTGAACAAACTGACATCAGAGGAAAGGAGAGTAGAAGAATGGGAGACAAAGTTGAAGGGGAATAAAAAGTATAAACATTCAGTTACAGAATAAATAATTCATAGGAACATAAAGTACAGCATAGGAAATATAGTCCATAATATCATAATATCTTTGTATGTGTAGTGAACATATTATAATATATAAATGAAGAATTGATAGGGGACTGGAGAGTTGGAAAGTTTTAC